ATAGGGACTTTCAGGCTGGGGGATTGCACCTGAACCCAAACTGCATTCAGTAATTGCAGCAAATTCCCTCTAAGCTTTGCACCTGAAGCAGATGGAAGAAGATTGTATCAGATCAACCCTTTCAAATTATAATAGTTTATGATGCTCATCTGCATTTTAATCAGATATAAAGGATTTATTTCTGAAATACACCAAGAAACACCATTTTCACCTCCTGAAATGCATCAGAGACTTTATAGCCAATCAAGTAAAATATGTTGCACATTTCAACTTTGTATATCTTTCTCTCTGGTGTATGCAATATTAGATGGATAAAGGTGTTGGTGATTTTATTAGGAGCTATATATAAGCCTATCAAAATAGAAACCAGAAAGTCATTTCATATGCCAAATCCATTCCATTAAGGATTTAACTCCCACAAATAAAAAAACAATAATTATGTTATATTATATATTCATATTATATTTTTACATTAAATGTATCAGATATTATTTTATTCAAAATGCAGTGTAATACAAAACTGGAATATAGATAAAGAATATATATAGTCAAAACTAGGGAAACTAAATGACTTGTAGGTAAATATAACAAAGATTTGTCATGTTTCTTCTTGTGACCAGAGAGAGCATGAATTGGAATTAGTTTTGTAATGCCCGAAGACTGAATAGAAAATTTATCACTTGAAAAAGTATGTCTTATGTTCCTGACATATAAGTAATATACTGATATTGCCAAAATATTCCTATACTGACAATTATTTCAGGGAAATTATTTTCTCTGTTGAATTACATATTTTCTTTTTTATTCATAAATTAATATGAAGTCAACTGCAAGTGGAATTCAATGGCCTAGAAAAGAATGAGTGTCAGCAGATTTCTAACAGTGACTTTAATTCAAGTACTGGAAAACTACATTTAAATTAAAATAACAAGAATCTATTTGCTAATAAATTTATCTGAAAAATTAGCTACTACTAGTGGGTAACAAAGGCTTTGAAAAAGGAGTACAGAACAGAAATGTGTCTCCATAATCTTGTTAAAAAATTATCAGTGTTGATTGCCACAAATACTAGAGGTGGAATGACTGATGATAATTCTTACTAACACTAAATGAATGTTAGGTTCCTAAGTAATCCTTAATTTCTTTTCATCCAATAAATTATTTTTGAAGTTTTGACTTGTTCTATTTATCTGGAGCATAAACTAGCATAATGATGTTAGAGTCTTATTAGCTTCTTATTAGGCTCAGTTTTGTCAGGACCCATTAACATGTACTTCAAAAAGATATAAAAGTAATTAAAAAATCCCTCAATAATTAATTGACAGTAATCTGGATTAAAAAACATCATCATAATACTAGGTCTGTGGTTCCAACATCCTAATAAATTGGTGTAGTAAGGGTAATATGTTTTTTTTCCTCCAGAAACTTTTCTCCACTTTCAATTTCTTGGCATTAATATTTACACACAATTAGTGTTACTATTATTCTAGGTTTTATTTTTTCATTATGATGATTTTTACCCTGCTTATGAACTTGAGACAGAAGTATGTTCAGTCACATTGCCTGAATTCTGTTTCTACAAAGTATATTACAGTTTGACAGACAGCTATGTTATTTTTTAATACTGATACCTATAATGGACTGAGTGAAGACAGGCTTTATGTAATAACTAATTTCATTCCACTGAAGTATCCAGTTCCCTTTTCCTTTAGCTAGAATTACACACCAAACCATCAGTAGAAACTGTTAAAGCTCTCATTAAGATAAAAATTCTTAGAACATCCGCTTAGCAAATTTTTCACACCGTGATTGCTCAGAATAGATGCATCTTATTCCTGGAGTTTTTATTATATAGATTTGCATGTTTTCATATTATTGACAAGGTTTCTAATTTTGACTTAAAATGTAAGTATAATGACGGGTCAGTAAAATGTTTGAAGAGGCAATACATGCATGACACATCTTTAAGGCATGACAAGACAGATATTATTTTCCTGGAAAAAAACAAAGCTTTCAACAATTTATTTTGCTAGTGTTATAAATTGAAATTTTACTTTTTATGTCAATAATGAAAAGATCAACAGAAGAGACTAAAGCAGATAAAATAAGAATAATGGTAGAGAGAAGTTAACAGGAAAATAAAAAGATTCAAACAGATCTCTGATATCATTATGAGTTCGTCAAAAAGACATTAAAGGCAGAGGGACCTTGACACGCTTGTAAGGTGGGCTAATACCAACTTCATGAAACTGAATCAAGCCAAGTGCAGATCCTACACCTGGGTGATGGCAGTAACAGGCACACCTACAGGTTGGGAGGAGAAGTGTTTCAGGACAGCCCTGTGGAAAAGGATTTTGGGGTGCTGGCTGATGAGAAACTGAACATGAACACGAGTGTGCGCTACAAGCGCAGAAAGCCAACCGTATCCTGGGCTGCATCAAAAAGAGCATGACCAGCAGCTTGAATGAGGTGATCCTGCCCCTTTACTCTGCTCACGTAAGACCCCATTTGGAGTACTGTGTGGAGTTCTGGTGTCCTAAACATAAGAAGGACATGGAGATGTTGGAACAAGTCCAGAGGAGGGCCATAAGGATAATAAGGGGCCTGACGCACCTCCTGTATGAAGACAGGCTGAGAAAGTTGCGGCTGTTCAGCCTGGAGAAGAGAAGGTTGCATGGAGACCTCATAGTAGCCTTCCAATATATGTGAAGGGAGACTGCAAAGATGGCAAAGAAGGGACTCCTCATCAGGGGCTGTAGCGATAGCATAAGGGTTAATGGATTTAAACTTAAAGAGGGGAAGTTCAGCTTAGATATAAGGAAGAAGTTCTTTTCTGTGAGGGTGGTGAGACACTGGAACAGGTCACCCAAAGAAGTGGTAAATGCTCCATCCCTGGCAGTGTTCAAGGCCAGGCTGGACAGAGCCTTGGGCGATATGTTCTAGTGTGAGATGGCCCTGACCATGGCAGGGGGTTGGAATTAGATGATCTTCAGTTCCTTTTCCAACCCTAACCATTCAGAGATTATATGATTACTAATGGATAACGAAGTCAATCTTAAGAATAATAGAAGATGGAAAGGTGTTCATAATATTGATATGGCATTTCAGGAAAAGAAGTTTTCTTCAAAACATTGTGATAAAATATTTTATAAATAGCAGCTTACATATTTTTTTGAGTCAGTCAACCTTTTTTTGCATTACCAAGGCTACATTTTTTATCAGCATTTTGGAATTCTTTATAAAGAATGTTTTCTAAGTGTTCTCATAAACACAGTAGAATACTGGAATAAATGGTTTGGTTTGTAAGGAACACACAGAGATCACCTAGTCCAACATACTTCCCATGGGCAGGGACACCTTCCACTCGACCAGGTTTCTCAAAGCGTTGTCCACCTTGACCTTCAGCATTTCTAGGGGTGGGGCATCCACAGTTTCCCTGGGAAAACTGTTCCAGAGACCCATCACCCTCATCATAAAAAAAAAAAAAATCTTCCTTATTTTCAATCTAAACATACCCTCTCTCAATGTAAAATCATTGGCCCTTGTCCTGTCGTTACAGGCCTTGGTAAAAAGTCATTTTAGATCTTACTTATAAAACACCTTTATATTTTGAAATGAAGCAATAACATCTTGAGTCTGTTCTCCAGCCTGAATGACCAGACTCTCTCAACCTTTATTCACAGGAGAAGTGATCCAGTCCTCTGATCATTTTGATAGCTACCTTTTGGACTCCATGTCTTTGTCATACCAGGGACCCGAGTACAAGAGAATAGATTTCTTTTAACAAACAATATTACTTGGAACATATTACATATAACTAGCCCTCAAAGCCTTTCTCTTTGCTCTTATCAGAGACAAAACTGGTGATTTTTAAATTATTCATGAACTTTCTTTCTCCTTGAGGCAATATCTGACCCACAAAAATGTAAAGGATGAAAATGTCTTTTTTGAGTTATAAAAGAAATGTTGATTAATACAGCATGCATTTAAATTCTCTTGAATTATATTAATGCTTTAAGGAAGCATTTTACATATTATGTTTAGCGAAAAGGACTGATTATATAGCTCTTCTTTCTCTAAACTGTCTAGCAAAACCCTGGCTTTAATGAAAAAAGACACCCAGTGTCATATAAATGACCAAGCCTTGACATGACAGCTTTGCCAGTCTTGTGTGTATTTAACTCTTTCCTTATCAGTTATTTCAATTAAGGTCGGCTAGTCTTTATGTACAACTTTAGAAACAAACAAAGAAACAAGTGAAACCCAAGCAAATAATCAAATCAAAGAACTACACTTGCCTTTTTTACAAATCCATTAATGAAGCAGGTGTTTTAGGATCATAGAATCATAGAATAGAATCATAGAATAGTTAGGGTTGGAAAGGACCTTAAGATCATCAAGTTCCAACCCCCCTGCCATGGGCGGGGACACTTTGCACTAAATCATATCACCCAAGGCCTCGTCCAACCTGGTCTTGAACACTGCCAGGGATGGAGCATTCACAACCTCCCTGGGCAACCCATTCCAGTGCCTCACCACCCTAACAGGAAAGAATTTACTCCTTATATCTGGTCTAAACTTCCCCTGTTTAAGTTTTAACCCGTTACCCCTTGTCTTATCACTATAGTCCCTAATGAAGAGTCCCTCCCCAGCATCCCTATAGGCCCCCTTCAGATACTGGAAGTGTTTTAGGCTTTTACGCTTTTCATTTACCATTTGTCACATCTAGTAGATTTCAAAACTTGAATTCTTGTTTTGATGATATCAAGTCATAAAGAGAAAAAATCCACTTATCTATTTCCTGTGTGTATTTTCAACTTCCAACTAACAATCTACCACAAAAAAATAAACAAAGCAATGTTTTGAAACAGATTACAAAGAGCCCCTACCTTTGCAGAAGTCAGATGTTTTAATACATAATATTAATAACAATTGTTACTAAATATAGAAGTTTCTGTTTTCTTAAAGTGTTTTGATTTAATGTTTAAAATTTCACTTACCTTTTAACCTTTCCAAATCAAACAGCTATCTGAAGGGCTTGACAGTAAGTGCCAACGTCACACGAGAAAATCCAGGTTACATTTGCTTCACTAAAATGAGCCTGCGGAGAAAAAAGAAATCAATGTAAATCTTTTAGAATACTTTTTTTTTTTTTTAATTTTGTCTCTTTACATATTGGTTCACTTTACGAAATTATTTTATTGTGTACGAAACAACCAAACTTAGTCAGGTTGACATTCTCTTTCCTGATGATAACATGGATTGATCCATATACCATGAATGAGTAATTCATTAGGAGAAAACTGTTCAGAGGACAAATGAAAATCACAGAAAGTTATGAATTAAGCTGCTTTTAATTTTTTTGCATCTATTAATAGTAGCCTTTCCAATAAAACACGGTGCTTGAAGTTAAATATCTCATGCAAGCATACCATATATACTGTCATGAAGCACCACTTTTTTCCCCTTAATAGATGTTTTCTAAACTGCAGAGTTTTAAAACTACCTTGATTGAAAAATGGGGGCATAATGAATAAAAATTCAACTGTCCATGTGATGATAGGTCATTAATGAAGAAATACATTTTCTATCATCTCAAATCAAGAAAAAATGTTTAGCTGAGCTATTAGACCTCAGACTACTACCTCCAGTGATAGGATACAACTAATTTTCCTTTTCCTTTAGGGAACTCTTTATGCTGACAAACTTTTGCAATAAATAAGAAAATATACGTCCAAATGTATATAAAACTTTTTTATTTAAATAGAATTTTTAGAGGAAATGTCCCTTTTTTTTTGACTTAGAATTTAGTTTTTTCTTTTAAACAAGCCAAAAATAGCCAAACAAGAAAGCAAAATCTAATTAGGAGAACAATATAACAAAATTTATTAAATTTCTATTTGGTAGGAGAATGCTCTAGACTGGCATTTAAAGTCTGGACTAAGATTTTGCTTTGCACAACAAGAGGCACCTTTAGAAAACATGGCTCAAAGCTTGTAAAAGACAGTTAAGAAATAATGTATAAATACAGAGTGCTTCAGGTACTTTGGATTTGGATTTCTCACAGGTTCTCACAGGAAACAAGAGGAAGTTTTTATTTTTTTTTAAACTTGAATCCCTCCAAGTTCTTATCCCCTGTTAGGACTAATAATTTATACAGTGCACACAACAGACAGAAGCATTCATAGAAATATCACTATGCATTTAATAAAGCTACTTGAGTGGTATGTTGAGTTTCAGTAGTTCTGTTATGTCTCTTGCTCAGCCTGCATATTTCATATTTGGTCTCATAGGAGATATGTAGTTAATACTCCTGAATACCACGATAAATTGTCAACAACCCTGATTGTCTAGGTATGTATGTTCTTAACCCTGTCTTGTACTGAGACAAAGGGGCACAAAATCACAAAATGGGATATAGAAACCTTTATAAGCAGTTTTAAGTAATGTTAAGTTTGATGGCTTTGTAACAGTAGCAATGGAAAATTACTGAGGTGCATGATACATAGAGAAAAAAAGAGTACAGCTAGAGAACATACTGAGACTTCTCACAAGATAAATCATTATAGTTGGCATAGTTTTAAGAAAAACAGTCTAGAAGAACAGGACACAGGGATAAGGAGTATCTGGGAATGGCAGGTATCCAGGATGGGCTACAGTTAAACTAACTGATAAGTAGGAGGATAGGAGGATTATTATGTCTCTGGTGCTAACGAACCAATTAAACTGGTATGAGCATCTACTGCGCGTGCTTCAAAGGCTGCCAGAAGTGATGAAGATTGTTGGAAGAAGTAACCGACCCTCAGAGACCACCACCACAATTCTGTACGCATGCGGGGAACTCTCTGGAAAATGATGTAATCCATACGTAGCCTCATGAATATGTATGTATGCCCAGGGACTATATAAGGATGGCTTGTATAGCAATACGGGGACACACGTTAGGAGGAGTTACCCCCGTGTCTCTCGGCGCCGCAATAAAGAATACCTGCTTGTCAGCTTGAAAACTTTGTTGGCAAGTTTGTTCCTGGAGTTTTCTCCGAATCAGTACTCTTCTTTAGATTGTGGAAAATATAAAATTACTTACATAATTTAGGAACAAATTTCCACAAGGAAAGGAAGAGCCTTGGGCAACATGGTCTAGGGTGAGTTTTTCCTGCCCATATCAGGTGGCTGGAACTAGATGGTCTTAAGGTCCTTTCCAACCCTAACCATTCTGTGATTCTATGATCCTATGGATGTTTAGAGAAATAAATGATAGAGCACCTACTAGTCTGTGTACTCTTGCAAGAGATGTGCAGTATTAGCAACTTAGCCAGCACTGGAGGAAGGATTACGTTATCATTGATGTTCTTTGCTCAGTAAAATCTGACTTTTAATAATATATTTAAAAAAAAATCTATTTATTGAGTACTGAAAGATCATCTTAGAATAGGTATTTGATACCCTAATGGTATTTGGAACTGAACAAGAAAGTCAAAGAAAAAGAAAACAGGGATGTGTTATGTGCATATTATAAGAGAATTTTTTGTTGCTGTAACTGAACCTCTGCTCATCTGGAGCCCCCTATACGTGATTAACAGTCACCTGGTTCAGAAACACATAGGCATATGGCACCATTATTAATCCTGACCCAAAGATACTGCAGTAAACACATTCCAGGTTTGAAAAAATATTTGATAAATACACATTTAACAAATGCAAACAAAAGTGTTTTGTTATAAATTGTATTCTATAAACACACTTGCTTTCAGAGCCAAAGAAAGACCTGATGAATACCCGGAGTTCTCTATTACTTTGAGAATTAATCATATGCTATCTATGACTTTCAATGATACCAGAAAATTAAATAGAAAGGAGAGCAGTAAAATAAAAATATAACATCATGCTGATCATCATTCAAATATAAACCACAAAATGTATTATGAAAATATGAATTAGCATAGGCATTTTCCAACTATAGATATAACTCTTGGTCTCAAACAAGCTAAAATTAAAGTATTGGAAATAAAATGGTAGAGAATATGACAACACTGATCAGAAAAGAAAGAGCCTAGATATAAATGGCTGTAAAAAAATTTAAAAAAGGAAAAAAATCCATATTTTTAAAGTAATTAACTGAAAAATATTTTAACAAAAACATTCAACATATCCTTACACCATCAGACATTTCCTATTGCAGTACTCTTCTTCTACACTCCTAACCTGTAGTGCCCGCTATACAAATTAGTTCTTGCAGCTGTGTATCAAGCATGTTAACACTCAGATGTCACTTATATTTATTCAATTAAGAAATCTTATTCCATTCAAAAATCTTATTCCACATTTTTAATTCAGTGCATGAGTTGCAGTCTTTTGCGGATGAGAATTCCCCAAAACAAAGAATTTTATTGGAAATGCTTATAACCTCTCTTAGCTGAGAGTGAATCTTTAAAGACTGCACATGAAAATTGTGAGTTAAAACTCCACTAAAGTAATCAAAGTCATCCAAGTTGAGCTTCAACACTATAATATCCACAGAAAGGACAATATATATGATATCTATATTTCTGGTAACACTAATTTTACTGCAAATGAAATTTCTTGCATCAAAGTCTCCAAAGAATTTGCTATAAAAATAAAAGCAACTTTAGAAATCAAAATACTATAAAAAAGTCAGGTTTTGTTTTCTTGTGGAGAGCTTTATTAGCAGTTTTAGAATTATCATTAGCATCATGTTGCAGCCAAACCTATTTTCTGTTAAAAAAAAGTTATAACTAAAAATCTTCATAGCGTACTCGTCTCATAACATTCTTGTACCTTATAATACAATTAGGAATCTCAAAAAAAAATGAGCTCTAAGATGTCTTAAAGTGAATGGATTATGCTTTAGTAAAGTTTATATAGTTATCTAGATAAACAAGCCCAATGAGGCTACAGCATACTAGTGTCCTGCTCTTAAACAATATTTATATTATGTTTCTATTAGGTTTTGATTTTTGTATATTATTGTGCTATACTGTTCTTTACTGAAGAAGTAAAATTTGCTTTGGTTCTTTCAGGCCTACATTATAAAAGAAGAAAACCCACTTTTTTTATATATTTCTTCACATCAGACAATACTGTTAGTGACAAATTCTAATGCATATTCTTGTTCTAAGTGTTAAGCGAAAAAATGTAATACCTCAGATGTGAAACACACCTGACAACTAGTTTAAACAAGCAGTTCCTCTTGTTGACCTCCCAACAACCTTAGTTACAAGGAGATATCGAAAGCTCTAATGTGAGAGGTGGACTCTCTTTCATTGCTTAATGTGTCAAAAAAATCTGAAAAATCCCATTACAAATGTTACTGGCAAAGAACTTCATGAAAACAAAGCCAAAGAATGAAACTGTACCTAAGTGAAGAGCTGACTCTAAGGACCCAATCATGGAAAATATGTTTCTAACCCTCCAGTTTTTTATCGTCATGTCAAATGTCTGAAAGTGAACATTTTAAGGTAAGAGCTGTGGACAAACCAGCCTAGAAATAGGTTATTATATGTACATGCTATGTGTAACTGTAATTTCTAATAAGTTATTAGCTACCAGCAGCTCCAGCTACTGGAAAGAACAACTCAGATTTTACACATACAATTTTCAGCTGTGCTCTAGTAATGTAGTCAAATTAGTAAGAAAATTATAGGTAAAACTATGCATCAAGGCAGGGAGCAGCGAGTGAGTGTAAATGTGATAGGTCTAAACAGAGCAGATAAAACATGATGATACACCTGTAGGTTTTAAGTTATTTTTTTTTAATCAATTCGTTTCGGTCTAAGTGAAATGAAGCATTATTTTCCTTTCAGATTTCCTATGATGGAAGTAGCCTAGCATTTTCCAGTTGCTCCTTCATCCAGTTTTTCCAAAAACAAGTCTCACAGATTAAAATTTAGTTCTGCAGGAGGAAGCACTGGAAAGTTTATAATTCTTCCTGCTGTATAGATTGGTGCCAGGCCAAGTTGCAAGAGAAGGCATGCCAAGCAGTAACATATGAAAATGTGATGGGAGGGTGTAAATAAATGCGGGACAGACTCCACTCAGTGGCAGGAAAAGAAACATTAGACACAAACTGAAATACAGGAA